ACGTGCACTACCACTTGTACCTGCTTATTGTATTACAACACATAAGAGTCAAGGTCAAACTTTGAGTAAAGCCGTAATTGACCTTAAACTGCCGAATGAAACTGAAGATATTGCCGCTGTTTATGTACCGCTATCACGTTTAAAATGTTTGATTGATGTAGCTATTTTCCGGCCTTTCGATTACAACGTTCTACGAATCAAACCAAGTAAATCGCAAGTTGCTGAAATTGAAAGACTTGATAAATTGTATATTGATACCCAATTTCGATTTTCTGAGTATTTTCATTAATTTTTCTTTATTATATAGAAATGCATGTTAGTTGCTATCAATTGTTTTGCGTATTATGTTTTTTTTAATGAAATCTTCAATATGTGTTTTTTATTATAATTGTGTTTTTTTTGTATTAGTATCGCTTTTATAGTAGCGTTGTAATCCTTCTCTAGTTGATAGTGTGAAAAGATATTTGCTGGTTATAGATGCATTTTCCTTTTCACATCCGTCTTTTTCTTGTTTGTTTTAGTCACACATTCAATATATTTGTATTATCTTATTATGCATGAAATTTTTTGTAAATAAAATAAAATATTATTAGTCATATTGTAGAATCTTAGTATTTGTCAAATAATTCGATACCATAGTAAAAACTGCGACATGTTATAGATCTATCTACAATGATATTCAGTAAAAGTGCGATCATAATTGGTAACAGTGAACATTTTTTCCATAATAAATCACGGTATAGGATTATTCTGTTCAGGCTACATTCTGTTTATTCAAGCATACATATCGATATGCAATAGTATAAAACGCAGTTTTCTCTATTGTTGTCTCGACATAATACTAATTTTCGTGCTGCTGTACGAATTTGTAAGGTCATGCACTTCTGATCATCCACGCTTAATTTTCAGTTTAACATTATCTATTAAAATCTATCTCGTTTCGTGATATTCATAAGAAAAAACTAAACCTATAATAATTTTCAATATCAAGACATATAAACGAGACTTTTACAATATTAACTTCGAAAGCAGCTTGTTGTACTAATTTGTAGATAAGAATGATGATTTTATATATGAAATCACCATACCTCGATCCTAACTATCCTATTATAGTCAAATCAATTCATAATTAAACACATATACGTGCATACTTTTAATAATAGCACAATTGTGTTCATAAAACAAAGCAGCATTTACACGTACAAACACACAGTCGAGGGTCAAGCGAGTCGCTCCGACGCGCGTTACTTGTTTATATTTCTAGAAATATGAAACACTTGTTGGTGAACGTGGTATACAATTGAGCGGTGGTGAAAAACAACGTATTGCATTAGCTCGTGCACTTGTCAAACAACCCAGTATTCTTTTATTAGACGAAGCAACAAGTGCACTTGATAATGTTAGTGAAAAAATTGTTCAAGAAGCACTTGATCGAGCATGTAAAAGTAAGAATTATTTAATTATTATTGATTATATTATTATTATTATTATTATACTATAGATCGTACAACTATAGTTATTGCTCATCGTTTAACTACAATTCAAAATGCTGATTATATCTATGTGTTAGATAAAGGAAATGTAATTGAAGAAGGTACACATGAAACATTATTGGCAAAAGAAGGAGGTAAATATCAAACAATGGTCAAAATGCAACAATCTGAGAAAACGATCAACACACAAGATGGCTTAATGAATATAGCAAAAGCAACAGCGGAAGATGAAGAACAACTATGTATGCTATTACTATTTTAATATTAATAATTATTAAGTTTTATAAACTTGATTTTGTTTTGTTTTTTTGGAATAGTGGAACGTGTTCGTCTATTGAGTGAGAGCGAAGCAATTGATATAAATCGGGTAAACATAAAGATCTAATCATTTTTAAAAACTATTACTGTTGTATAAATTTTTAGAGAGCTTCTATGTCAGCAAGAGAAAAATCTGTCTTTCTAAGACTCATGAAGATGAATAGTCCTGAATGGGTATTTATCTTGATTGGTTGTTTAGCATGCTTACTTGGTGGATTACGTGGACCAGTGTTCTCGATTCTATTCGCAAAAATAGTTAATGTAAGTGATTTTAAGGTACGTTTTTTTGTCGAATTTTTGTTTTATTTAGGAATTTAATGATTGTAAATACACTGATATGCGTCGTCGAGTGTTGATTACAAGTAGTTTATTTCTTCCTCTCGGCGCTATTTTTATGTTTCTTCGTTTTTTCCAAGTAACAATTTTTATTACTAAACTATATCAATGAGTTTTTTCATGTTCGTTTACAGTATGCGGCTTTTGGAGTAGCAGGAGCGAAACTAGTTAGTCGCATTCGTTCAAAAGCTTTTGCATGTTTACTTCGTCAAGAAGTCGCTTATTTTGATCGACCTGAAAATAGTTCCGGTGCTATATGTACTCAACTATCTTCTAATGCAGCTGCCATTGAAGACATGACTGGTTCAAGATTAGGTGTTATTTGTGAAACTTTATCCTTGTGTGTTTTTGGCTTCTTACTTGGCCTTTTTTACAACTTAGATTTAACAATAATCATAACTATTCCTTTCACTATTATACTCATCGCTACTATTATACAAATACGTTTGAGTTCATGGTTAAAAACACAATCTGATCTCATTTACTGTCAAGCTAGCACGGTAAAATCATCTTGATATTCATAATCTTTTAATGTGTAGTAGAATTACGTTATCATACATTATTTGATGAAATGATTATTAAATATTCATTCTCTGTTTTTTCTTGTTTAGCTTGCTGTTGAAGTTATAACTAATATGCGTACAGTAAAACAATTATCAATGGAAAATGAAGTTTTACGACAATATTCAAATATGATTGATCAAGTATTAGGGTTAGTCTTTTGAATATTATGCATGTATACATATTTGAAAAAGAGCTTTTTTTATAGTAATAAAAATGCGTAAACACTAACTGAGAAAACAATAGGAAAGTCGAAACTTGAAAGAAATCTGATCAGATATTTCCTTTGATTTTAATCAGTTTATTTTCTAGTTATAGTAAATCTGTATTAAAACCTAAATATATACAAAGTAATAAACAAAACTCTGGGGGCTTTTAATAATCTTGATTAATTTCGTCAAAAAATAACATGTTCTTCTATATCGATAATACCGAATATACCTCTCTTTTTTTACAGATATTGACTTCAATCCTCAATAAATTATCTTTTGTTTAGATTGTCTTGGAAACCTGAAGCACTGTTTACAACAGTATTTGCATTGTACTGGACGATGGATCCATTGACTTTGGGACTTTTGTATTGGCGTGCTTTGGTTCTTGTTGAAAACAATGAACTAGACATGAACGATGTTGTTATGTAACTAAAACAATAACTTAAATAATCTTTAAATTAAGTTTGATTATTATTTTTTATTCTTATAGGGTTTCTGCTTTTGGAATGTTTGCATTGGAAGCACTAAAAATGGTTGGAATGTTGTAAGATATAGAATTTATGTTTTTTTTTATTTTTGTTTTTATTATTTTCGTTTAAGAGCAAGACGTATTGGTGCATCATTTGCTGCGGCTCATGCATTTTTTGATCTATTTGATCGAACACCGACTATTGATAATGGATCTAATAAAGGACAAGAATTAGTAAAAGAAAAAAAACTATTGTCTTCCAATTATATATTTTAATCTTGATTTGTTTAGACTAATTTTAGTGGAGAAACAGACTTTAATCAAGTTAAATTTGTTTATCCAAGTCGTCCAACAGTTCTTGTTCTTAATAAACTTCAACTATCTATTAAATCAGGTCAACGTATAGCTCTTGTTGGTATGTTCAAATAGATTATAATTTCCAGTTTATTACTGATATAATACAATCGTTTTAGGTTCATCTGGATGTGGAAAATCAACAATAGTTCAGTTATTAGAACGATTTTATGATGTTACACATGGTGAATTAGTAAGTATCTCTTTTCTATATATATAATTCAAGTACTCATATAAAATATATTAATATAAACTAGCTTCTTGATGGTGTTGATATTCGAAAATTAAATCTTCAATGGCTTCGTTCTCGTTTGGGTGTTGTTAGTCAAGAACCAGTTTTATTTGATTTAACAGTTGCTGAAAATATATCATATGGATTAGAAAATATACCAATGGACGAGATTGTTCTTGCTGCAACTAAAGCTAATATTCATGAATTTATTCAACAATTACCTCAAGTTAGATTAATATTTTGATTATTTAATAATATTATCTTATTTTGTTATAGGGTTATGAGACAAAAGTTGGAGTAAAAGGTAGTTTTTTATCAGGTGGTGAAAAACAACGTATTGCTATTGCTCGAGTTCTTATTCGTCGACCTAAGATATTATTATTAGATGAAGCTACAAGTGCGATGGATCCATATAATGAACAAGTAAATTGATTTTCTTTTCTATGTATAATTAACATTTTTAATTTGCAGATAGTACAAGTAACTCTTGATCAAGCTCAAATAGAAGATCCTAGTCGAACATCAATTATTATTGCACATCGTCTTTCAACAATACGTTCATGTGATTTAATACATGTACTTGAAATGGGTCGTATAGTAGAAAGTGGTACTCATACAGAACTAATACAAAAACGTGGAATTTATTATAAAATGTTACATGCTCAAAACAACGTACAATAATTATTATTCAACAATTTCATTAATAACAAATAAATACTTTTACATTTATAGTCATACAAGTGTTTTTTTTCAAAATTATCTTTTTTTGTTCTAATAAATATGAAACTAGCTTTGAATTAAATTATATCTAACTTTATAGAAAAATTGATTAAATCGAGTATTCCAAAAAAAAAATACCAAAAACTAAATCTAAACTATTGATTAGTCTTTTATTATTATCTTGTTATAAAAAGAAACAATAGATATACTTCACATATTTTAACATGATCTCTTTGATCCGATCTATATGATATACCTTATTTTTATCATACAATACAACGCAAGTATATATTATTTATAGATAGATAATATGAGAGATATAATAATTATTGTTATCTACACTATATTTTCAACACAAAATATTTCTCATCAAGTGCAATTGTTTCAATTGAATAAATAAAGAAAAGAATTTCTAGTCAAAATATTTCTCATCATATTTGATTTATTAGAAGAATATTGATCATTACTATTAACTATAAGATTTTTAGAGATCGAAAAAAGATATCATTGTGGAAGGATGGATGTCGTTAAAATTACAGAAGACATCCACACACCCACACTGATTATATACTATTCAATAAAGAATTTCACTAGCTACAAAATGGTATATAATATATAATGAATCAAGAAGGCTAAATCACCTATATGGCAAACATAATTAAGTAGGAAGTGGTTGCAATGTTGTCAACGACATCATTGAGTCAGAATTAGAGTTCTATCTTCTGATTAAAGATATGTTATTTCAAGGTTTTCTGGGGTAGAGAATAATTCGAATCTGTACTCCATTTGCCTCGAAATCCCATTAGTTGAGCAATAACCAATAAAAAACAAGTTATGGAAAAATTATTTTTCCTAGAGTAACTCAAGGCGAATAGTTTAAATCTGAGCAGTATTCGATTCTATATCCTATCAAATAGATACAGCCACTAAAAATCGTGCTTATATTAAATATTTTTTATTATAATTGTGACGCCCGGATATACTAGAATGATTGAACTCTCTCATATACTCTTTCTAGTACACATAACTCTCAGATAAAATCTAAAGTTTCCAAATTTATTCTTAATAATGTTTATTTGTTTTTGTTACCTTGAATTAAAATGTATTCGTATTATGTTAATTCATGTTATTTCTAATGCAATTAAAAAAAACGATAAGAAAACAAAATGATTTTCTCATGATTTAAATGTAAAAAATGACATAAAAAAAGATCGAATTGAAATAAGAAAATAATTTCTATAAAACATCTTTAAATTTTCAATCATAAAAACTGATTGATAAATTTAAATAAAATTTTTTTAATCAAATAAGATTATATTCATCAAAAGCAACGTTTACTTCAAGCAAGAACAATAAACAATTCAATGGAAATTTTACTTTTAATTAAAATAAAACTTTCTTCTTATTTCATCGAAAAAAATCGTTTTATTTAAATAATAAAGTGTTAAATATTCGTCAATGATTATTCTTAATATATTTAATGGATTATTTTCGCGCATATTCATAAATGTGATCATGAAAAGCATGGATGTTATACTATTTCGATCATTTTTCTTTTCTTTTATGTTTAACTAAGTCATTCGATTTTCTTTCTTATTTTTTTTATTTATTAAAATTCTTATTAGAAATGTGTATTACTTATTAAAGTTTACTTTTTCAAAACCTAATTTTATTTGATTTTTTCTTAAGCAAAAAAAAAGATTTACTATATATTTAAATGAAAGGTTGTTCGTTTCTAAAGTTATGAATTAAATAAAATAAGAAATTTTATTAACAAATGATTCAAGTCAAATAAAAATGTCTTTATTATTATTTCATCATTTATGGTTATCATCAATTGAAATAATAATTAGTTTTTATCAAGTATTTATCATTAATAGGAATTTGATAGATTTTTTTACTTTTATTTATCGAAATCCTATGTAGAAAAATATTTCTTTATTATCGAAATAAAATTTTAGAAATATTAGATAAATGTAGTTGCATAACTAAAATCCTTGCGTGGGTAGGCATTAACATACCTATTATTGAAAAGTTATTCTTAACTTCCTTTTCTTGAAAAATGAACGAAGAATGCGGAGTTAGGCAATTTAACTGAATTCACCTAAAGAAACTTGAACCATTTTAAAGTGAATCATGGAGTTATAATGGATAGAAATCGAAAACATTACAAAATCAAGCAGAATACTTTATTTTTGTTGAATTTCTGCTTAAGAAACATTTTTCTCATTTAGTTAGTAGAACATTTTTTGAATTCAATTCAATTAAGTTTCGAGATCATGAAAAATATATCTAAGCTCTATTCAATTCAATTCGATTGATTAACTCGAAAAAATTTGTGCAACTCAAGAAAAGAAAGTTGAATTGAGTTGCCCAATTCTGAAATAATGATTGACTCCGAACGTGTTTCAATTCTTTATTATTTTACGACATTTATTAGAGATCTCATCTATTTTTATTAATATTTATATATATTATTAGAATAGCCCACTCAGGGATAATTCACGATGTCCGAAAAATTAAACAAACGTTGGCGGCCTTTACAAAATTTTATGAATAATTTCAAAAAGTAGCCATGTATTTTTACGAATATTTAGCAGATTTTGGAAAATTTTCCTAATATTTGTGCAGATTTCGCATGTGTGAGCATAGAGTTCGTATTATTTGAATTGATCGATAAGTTCAGTTTGTTTTAATGATCTATTAGTACAGCTCGGTTCGTATGAAGTGAATTCGTTGAAAAGTTTAATTGATTGAAAGAAACCTTTTAGACAATTCAGTTCGACGAGCTGAGTCTTCTGAAAAAGTGAATCGTTGTGAACTAGAACGAAGCTATGTGTATCCTATTAATCATTATGATTTTCTTTAATATTATTTTCGAATTGATTTATTTAAACTATTTCGAAATTGTATCAAGAAGAAAATTCTTTATTTCTTTTTTACCGTAAATTTACTTTCAACATGATCTTTAAGATTTATTTTCGTTATCATACTCGTCTCTTCCCTAATTGTTATACTAAGAATGTTTTTAGAATTATTTATTTCTTGATTAAAAAAATAAGTTGAAAAAAGAGAATGATCAACTTCATTTTGAATTGTGTTTGACTTGAAACAAGAGAAAGAAATCGAATAAACTATATTTTAACTTGTGTGATTTACTCTTCAATCAATAAAGATCTTTGAACAAATAAGAATATTTACAATGCACACCTCCATTGAATTTAAATCATCTAGTAAAAATTCAATATACTGTTCAATTTTGACTTATGGTCACCAATTATAAAATATTTTATAAATGTAAACCAATTCTTCAACAGAAATATTCAAGAGAAGTACATAGAAATGTAACAATACTTAAACCTACATTCATACAGAGAAACAACAAATCGTTTGTTTTTTCTTTAATTTTAATCTTCATATTCAATAGATTTACCGAAGAACAAATAAACTAAATTCATAACATTTTCTCCAAATAAAGGTCTTAATTTCAATGAAACAATTTTATTATCATAATGATATAGTCTAACGAATGAAAAATTTTAAAAGATTTTAAACAAAAATATTATTCAAGAAATTACTTCTGTCATCGATCAAAATTTAATGAATTATGATCAATATCAAGAGGACATATACTATTATTGATAATGATTATTACAATCAACAAAAAATGATCTTGTGACAAATAGTCCTATAATTCGATGAAAAAGAATTACATTTGTGAGAACACAAACTATATGTCCCAATATAAGAGACAGAGCAATAATTATAAGAAAAAGATCAATACGATCAGTAAATCGAAAGTATATTATTAAATAAAAAGAATGAATTGATATATATATATTAAAGAGAAAGAGAAAGAGAAAAATAAGATGATTTTAATAAAGTATTTTTATTCTTTTCTCTTCTGATCTATTATGTTAGAATATATGTATCAATTGACAAAATCCTAATTGCAATATCTTTAGTGGTTTCTTTAATATCATCATCTAACTTTTTATTCTTATCATCGGTCTTTTCTTCATTGAAATATTGACGCCAATGAGAAAAACTAAAAATAATGATGAGTTCGTTAGATTTTTATGAATATTATATATTTATCAAATTATATCCTTCGTTTTCATTGTCGATATCATTATCAATGGGTAATTTGTTATATGTATTTAATAGTGACTCTTTCTCACTCATCTTCTTGTTTTTTCTAAATATACATTATTATGAAATACAACGCTTGCTATGGGTCTATATAGATGATATATTTACGACAAATATCATCAATTAATACAGTTCTTTGTATTTTGCATTTGAGTTGATCCGTTTTTTCTTCAATATCATATCTATGGATATTTTCTCATTAATTTCAGTCATATTTGGAATCATGATTTATCATAATACTCGAACATTAACAACACGAATAAATCTACTTGTTCGACGTGAATTAGATAAACAATTAAATGATGATTCTTGTCGAAATTTGTGTTTATGTTTATACTTATTTACCTTGTTCAATTATAAATTATAATCTTATGATTCTTGTTCAACTCAATCTAGTCAATGCTATTACCACTTACTGTTAATATTCTGACGAATGGAGTAAATTATGTTCATTTAAAAGATATAAGAACATTTTATAGAATTTATTTTAGAGATTCGTTTTATGGAAATATTTGTGTATGATGTTTATATGAATCGATTTCAACAAAGTCATATAAATTCAGATTAAATAACAAATCAAATCGTGAGTGACAACATCTAATTAATTTCATTTCAATTATAAAACGTAAAAAGACACTCCATAGTTTGAGAGTGTGTAAGGATGAGGATAGCACATTTATACATCGATCTCATCCACACTCTAGTTTTTACTGGAACGAGTTCGTCGAAGATGTTGAGAGAGAAGGTGTCAGTTCCTTCTTTTTGTCTATAGTCACACCCTTTAAAACGAAAATAAATAACAGAAACAC